TCTATTTTTCAATAAAAGAAACAGAACATAAGGTTTATCACCTAGGATAACTAACAAGTTAGAGCCCATGGTTATTATTTTCAACTCTGCTATATTATAATGCTCTAACTATGGACATTCATATATATGCATAAACAAAAAGAGTAAGGCATCACAAATATGCCTCTTTCCCATAAAACTGGTTTTCCAGAATTTGGGGGGAAATCAGTTTTCACTGTGGCTCCTTTTCATCTATCTTAATAATGGGAATAGATTGACAAGGCTCTTAAAAGAATAGTAAAAAACTGGAAGACATGTAGCAAAAACATATTAAAAAAAAATTTTTTTTTTCCCAACAGGGCAATTCTACCAAAGGAAGAAGCTGGAAAAAAAAAAAAAAAAAACTAAATCCATCCAGAGCCTAAAATTGTTTTGGTAATCTACTAAATTCATTCATTTAATTCATTTATTCACTAATACAGCATGCCACTCCCCCAGTTTTTATCCCTGAAAACAGCTAGCTCTGCCACATCCAGAACCTATACCAATTTATAACTTAGAACAATGTTGATCTTGATACAATGTAACCAAAATAAATATGGTATGTTTTTACAGTTCACATATTCACAATTGTTTGTTCCTCAATCAACAGAAGAGATGCATTTCCATGAAATGAATAAGACAGGTGAAATAATTAAATACCTGACACCAATACCTATTAATTTAACTCCTATAAACACAAAACTCTTAAAGCAACATTTCAAAATGCAATTTGAGCAAAAGTGATTTTTTTAAAGATATAAAAACAATGCTAAATTAGGAGAACCAAGTTAGCATGATTGACACTCAATAACATTCAGCTTCACCAGAAAAATTTTCACCTTCTAATTTAGTTTCTCTGTAGAACTGAAGCTAAAAAAGGCTCCTGCAATGTTTTATTTACTGGCCAATTTCTAGACATCTGTACTCAGTCTGCACCGTAACAAGCTGATGCTAATAAGCCATACATAAAGATCCTACTTATTAAAATACAAATTAGGCACCCCTTATGTTTATACATGTGTAAGTACAATTAATATCGTAGGCTTAGTTGGAAACAAAATTGCTTAAGTTAACCAACCATTGCAATGTAATCAAATGAGATTTCAAATGCAATTGGAAAAGATCTGTTCAGTACAAATAACAAGAACTATTGCATGCAGAACAATTAGTTTTCTAAGCTTTTTTCTTTTTCCACCTGCCCTTAATAATTTGTCCATCATAAGTGACACGAAATGTGACCTTTAACACCCGTAAGTTGCGTGGAGACCTGAAAGGCAGCTGGTAGATACAGCTTATTTACAAATATTGGTTTGAACTTGTAAATGCATGACCGCATAAATCTTAATCCATTTAGAGTGTATGCCCTTTGTTAGCTCAATTGTACATTCAATTGGGAACTGAGTGGCGCTGAGGGAGAGTGTGAATTACATGGGCCTTTTCTTGTTGCCAACATTTGCAGCATTTTAGTGCTTTGCCTTTTGTTCTAGCTGTTCCTGAGATTTCACTACACTAAAGAAATGGAAATGTTAATCAACATTTTGCCGAAGTAATATGAATGAATTTTGCCTACTTATCCTGGAGGGAAGAATCAGAATATTGTATCTTTGGGAAATGTTAACGTACCTTTAGGAAATGATTTCTGCCTTCTAAATCATCCTACTGTTAAATTATTAATGGTGGCATTAAAGAACTATCACCCTGATACAAATAGTTAAATATCTTAAAAGATAAAAGGATTATAAAGTTTAAAAAGAGGACCTTTTGGAATATGGTAGCACTTACCTTCAAATTAAACATTTTTAAATGTTTGGCTAAAGCATTGATAAAATTTGCAATTATTTTGGGTGGTCTCCTAAAAGAAGAGGAGATTTAATGTTGATGATCTCTAGTTTCTAGCCACAAATTTAAGTTTGATTTGTTTTATGGCTTCTAAGTATTTGTTTACCCTTGCTACATGACATGCATTGAAGCATCATCTGGTTTATCAGCGGGGAAAAAAAGGAAAAAGGAAAAAGTGTGTCTTATTGTTATAATATTTGAGTTTAGGCAATCTGCATTCACATTCTATTCTTCAAACATAGAATAACTTAACGATATTTCAAAGGGCTCTTAAAATGGGAAGGACTGTTGTGAAGACTGGGTATGGCTGGCATGGTCAGAGATGGAAAATATCAATTCTCAGTGTGCAAACTGGGACAGCTATGTGTTCTGTGCACATTGTTTACAATCCTTCAAGAAAGGTACTCACGCAATGAGTTGACAGAGCTCTAAAGTGGACTAACATGTTTTCCCTTTAACAATCTCTTTTGATGTCAATCAGTATGTTCATAGGTCCTAAATAAATTGTGAGGTAATCTAGGGGGAAATTAAGAACAGAATTTGTCCAAGAATTCTCTTACATGGAGGTCACTATTTGCTAAGAACACTTAATGCTTACTGAGAAAACCATTTACATTCTATTTAACCGCGTAAGATTGAGTAATGGCTTCTGTGTCATGGTGGGACCAGTGCGTCCTCTTGCATGACTGATCCTAGCAGTGCTACTCGGTAGGGACAGGCACCGAGAGGGCAGAGAACAGGGGTTACATTTCAAGGTAAACTTTTTTACATTTTGACCTGTGTCAAGTCAAAATACATCTCAAAATTGCTGATGCATCATAATTTAATTGGCTTCTTTTTTTCTTTCTTAGCAATACGTAAATGATAGGGTGCTTTACAACTGAGAAAGGCTCAGATGCAGTGAAATATGGTAAAATATGGTAACAGCCTACACACATTGAGAGTTCTTGCGTCATGGACAAGGGTTGCCCATTACTTCTGCAAGGAGAAATGTTAATTTTGTGTTAATGATTTGACAATATCAAGGGTTTTACAATATATCTGGAAAAGAAACCCTTAGAACCAGAAACCTATAACATGATAATTAAATGAAACAACACCAATGATATAAATGGCATTACTACATCCCTGCTTGCCACTTTATTCTTGACCACATTATTTCTCCTTAAGAAACTGAAAAAGACATATAACTAATAAATGACTATGAGAAATATTACCGAATTCTTTTAACACGAAGAAAAGTTTATGAATAGCAATGGAATCAATATATTACAAGCTGATCTGTGTAAACTTAATGATTTTTTGAGTTCTAAGAATTACTCAAAATTTAAACTAAAACACCAATTGTACCAACCCAACACTAAGCAAAAGAGAAGGTCTAGCTTTATACCCATTATGTCTTCACATTGCTTTTACTATGCCACCTCCGAGATGGGAGGAAGAAACCATTTCCATTTCATATTAAGCAGTCAAAAGGATATTTATTTGGACAAATTAGTTTGGCTGCTTTTTGTCTGAGAAACAACAACAAAAAATTAAAGTTTGTGTTCCTTTCATCTAAAAGAAACTAACAATATCGTAAATCCCCTCATTGGATGAGCTTACAATTTGCCCTCAATACTCAAACTTACATTTCTAATTTAATCACCATTTTTTTTCCTCTACATATTATGGATGACAGCAATTATGTCCAATTATGAACTAAGCCAGTACCTACCTGACACCAACAACTCAGGCAATATGACCAGTTGAGTAAAAGAACCAAACAAACTGACAATAGTTAAACAGAGTCTCCAGCTGGTAGACTAAGTACTGGTTTAAGAAATATAAATTTGTGGAAAATATAGTAAAAATAAAAAACATCAGAAGCATGAAACATGGAAGACTAACCTTTATCATATATTATAAGTGAATGACATATCATGTAGTGTATTTTCCTTTGATATATAACATAATCATGCTAACACAAAGCAAAAGTGCTAATTCCTAACCCTCAATTTTGTGTTCTTTGAAGTACAACTTTCTTACCTTCAAACTTGACTTTTGTTTTACAAAACATTCAAAACCAATTTAATAGTACCAAGCTGTCACTCATACTCTAATTCTATTTTAAACATCCCCCAAATTAGTTATACGGCATTTTTCTATGATCAGAAACTAGAAAGATTTTCACTATAAATAAAATAATTCAAACATATAAGATAAATATTTTAACTATTAAGGGCAAACTTTTCCACTGTGCCCCTGGCTGTAAGAAGATTGACTGATTGACAAGATAAGTTGAAAGACTGAATACATTGATAGATGTATGAAGAGATATGTGGATGGATACACAGATACAGAGATAGAAAAAAGAAGATGGATGGATAGGTGGATGGATACACAGATGGAAAGAAAGAAAGATAAATAGATGATAGAGAAGATGGATGGATGGATGGATGGATGGATGGATGGATGGATGGATGGATGGATAGATAGATAGATAGATAGATAGATAGATAGATAGATAGATAGATAGATAGATAGATAAACAGACAAAAGTCATTACCAGGAGAATTTCTGCTATTTCTATAATTAGCTCAGTAATTCTTAAGGCACAAGTTTATCAAAAATATATATGGAAAAGCTAGTATCAGCTGGAACTTCTAAAAGTAGACCACAGTAAAAGAAAGATTGTTCTAGCGAAAGTGGAGCAAATTAAATTATAAAAGTTTAATACATTCATTCTTACTTCAATCACATTGCCCACCACCAAGGTGATGATAATATGCATATCACTTCTTACAAACTCCAAGTTGTTAAATGCAACTTGTTTTTCAACTAGTGTATCCATAATATCTACAATGGTGATTAAGATATTATAAATGTAATTCTATTTAAATGTAATTAATTTTATAAATAACTTTGATTATAGGAGAACATTTCAAAAGACTTGTTTGAATATGGAACATAATAAGCAAAAACATTTTGACTAACGTATTGGCTCTCATTACCCAAAAGCAAATTCTTTAAAGAAACAAAATATAGCCGAGTTTTGCTCATATAACATCTTAAGATTCTTTCACTAAGAAAATGTTAATGTAATCATAATGATCAAGCACAAAACGTCACTAATTAAAGTGGTTAAAAAGGGTCCTTACCGCAAAATCCTCTCTCCACTGGTGGGCTGCTTGAACCTTCTCTGCTTCCAAAGCCAAGCGCTGAAAAGGAAACATTATATCTTAGAATTCAAATGACCACATGAATATATACTTGTGAATACACAAAGCACTGGGGTTTTCAAATCAATTATAAGGACATAAAAAGCAAAAGAAACTCCTTATTTATGATTCACAATTTCTCAATCATTTAGTAATCTAATCTACTGGAGTTGATATATGTGTATTTACTCTTAAGTAATATAAATAACCTACTATTCTTGAATACCATGGTTTACTACCTCTGCCGTTATCAGAAGATGTGGACACCATGAGTACTTTCTTTCAATGACTAACATTGCAGTTTCAGAGAAAGCTTTAATAAGTAGGGTATATTCATCTTGGTAGAACCCTGTTTTTAGTAAACCCTTCAAACATTTCTATATAAGTAGAAAGGAAATGATATTGAGAGACCAATCAATATGTGCTAAGCGCTATCCTAGGCACCTTCTTAATAGCATATTGAGTTTTGTTTTGTTTTGGCTTGGTTTTACCAAAAGCCATGAAAATGTAGTAATTTCTTTCTTGCTGAAGTACACTCTTATTAGTTCTTTCAGAGATAATCTGTGAGTACCAAACTGTCACAAGCTGTACATCTGAAAATGGCCTTATTTCATACTTGCTCTTGTACATTCACGTAGTTCAAGAATTCTAGCCTGACTCTTCCTTTAGCACTTTTAAAAACATTATTCCGTTAAGTACAGTTGGAGACAAAATGTCCATTGTCAGTCTGCTAATCACATTTTATAGATAAATTCTATTTTTTTCTTTCTCTAATAGTTTTCAGGTTTTTCTCTTTGTATGTCTCAGAGTTACTATCGCGCTGTCTGGGTGATAAGCTTTTACAAGAGACGGTGACATTTAGTGATGAACACAGATCTGAAACCAGACTGCCTGGGCTGAAATACCAAGCCTGCTACATACTAGCTGTGCAAACCTGGGAACTATCTCAGGTGAATAATATCAAGGCAGGCCTCGTGGATGGTTGAAAGGATTGAGTGAGTAAGATTTAATGCGAAGTGCTTAGAACACTGCATGGTAGACAGGAATATAGATGTGAGCTATCTAACTTAGATAATTATGATTCCATTTGCACTCCATGTCCCTTTGTGAAGATGATTCAGTGTTAAGTTCAGCAGGACCTGCCCCCAACACAGCTAGAAGACAGTGGCAGAAACAGGAAGAACGTAACAGTAAATATAATAAATACAAATATTAAATTCATTTTTAAGAGACAGAAACAATCAGGTTAGGTTTTAGAAAAGTGTAAGTCTTGAAGGGGATTACGATTACTGGTTCATGTTTTGATCTTTCACTATGAACTGTATTTCAGGGAGTGCTCTTCCAAAGGAAGTCCAGACTGCACTAGATAATGGAAACATATCTTCATGCCAGTGTTTATATTAGTTACTGATTTTGATGCCCTGTTATTTAATGCTATGATCTGTTCACTTACTAAACTATTAAGTAGGTATTACCGATGACTATAAAATACTGCCAAATGGGAGATCTAAAGTTAAGAATTCCTAAGCTGAATTTAAAAGAAAAATTCTCCAGAGTGCTTAAAATGAGAACGGTTTCAGTTTATCAGCCACTAGGCAAACATGGATTAAAAGAAGATTAGTAGGGGCTCCTGGGTCACTCAGTTAGTTAAGCATCCAACTCCTGATCGCAGCTCAGGTCATGATCTCAGGGTCGTGAGATCAAGCCCCTCATCAGGCTCCATACTGAGCATGGAGCCTGCTTAAGATGCTCTTTCTCCCTCTCTCTGTCTCTCTCTCTCAAAAAAAAAAAAAAAAGAGAGAGAGAGAGAGAAGAAGAAGAGCCAGTAAATGTTAGAAATAGGACCAGGGAGAGTAACCAAAAGAGGCTCTCTATCCCTAACAAGAACAAAGGGCTAAAGAGAGTAAAACCAAGGGAAAAGTGTATGCCTTTCAGTGATATTGCAACACAATACTTCTGAAAATTCAAATTCAGTGTGAAAATGTAGTAAAAAGTGAATAAAAATTAAGCGGAAATGGAAGCAACGTCTCTGTAGGAAAACTTTAGGATGGGAAGATAGAGAAAGAAAAGACAAAATGCGAAAATAAACCAGAAGGCATATTCTTGACAAAATTCAGAATACAAGGCTTCATTTTTAACACGCAACACAAGAACAGCTAAACGTTCATATGTATAGGATGAATAATAAACTTAAGCATTTTGAGAATTTGAACAAAATACTGGGTAAAACTTACCTAAGTTAAATAAATTTTTCGACTAAGAAATATTAGAACTCTAAAATGTCTTTAAGTCTTGGAGAGGAATGTTAAGATTTTTTCCTTGCACAACACACCCCACGAGGATGCCATCCGCACAAACAAAACACACTAGGGGACATTCTCACCCACGGAGCCATACATGCTTTGCAAAGCTCCAGCTCAGACTACCGCATTGTTCTCTACTCTGGAGAGCATAAGGAAGTACGACTTAACTGATATGACTCTGAATCACATGGCTTATGATATGAACATAATCCACGTTTAATAAGCCATGACAGTAATCATCACAGTTAATTATTTCTAGAAAAAAAAAATTGAAAGGGATGGACAACGGCAACAAACTTCTAAAAGACAATTCTCCTAGGAGGAGAGACCAAATCAGCTTTATTTCCTTATTGTCTATATATATATATATATATAATTTTTTAAACACTCATTTTATGAAGGAACACCATTTATTGCAAGATTCTAAAATGGTTTTAGAAACTTAAAGAGATGTAGCTATGTATAAGGAAAAAAAGGTATTTGAAAGGTTGGTGAAGCTCAAAAGTTGCTAAATTTTATATCACCAGCTTAGAAATCTATAAATACATAATCATGAAAATGCACTACTTTGCTTATGCAAAAATTAATGAAATATGTTTTATCTAGTAAATTTCATGATAAAGCATAAGACTGAACTTTGCACTTAAGGAGTCTGTCTTGGGGACTAATACAAATAGTTGATGATGGTGCTCTTTCTTGTGGCAAAAGACCAGCTAGCCATGACTTATAGAAAACTGACATGTCGGGTGCCTGGGTGGCTCAGTTGGTTAAGCGACTGCCTTCGGCTCAGGTCATGATCCTGGAGTCCCGGGATCGAGTCCCACATCGGGCTTCCTGCTCGGCAGGGAGTCTGCTTCTCCCTCTAACCCTCCCCTCTCTCATGTGCTCTCTCTCATTCCCTCTCTCTCAAATAAATAAATAAAATCTTCAAAAAAATAAAAATTTAAAAAATTTAAAAAAAAGAAAACTGACATGTCTTCTGGACACTTCAAGTCCTTAATTAACTTCTATTCTGGTCAAGTGACATTTTAGTTTTAAAGCCAATGATCTACTGCTAAATGCCATTGGCAAATTGCGTTAAGACTGATAAAATTCCTACCTAATTAAATGTGAACATTTGCTCAGTATATAACTACAGTTATGGCTATGGCTACGTAAGTATATCCTGTAACAATAACGTAATTCAGAGTAAGGAAAATGTGGGTTTTTTCTCATTTAATTTATAGTACAGTTTAATCTAGTATCAAACATTAAAACCAGACCAAGTATAGATAGATACAAAAGACTCAACTCAGCATAAATACCTGTGAGAGGAGATGGAAACAATTCTGCTCTTACTAAGATAAACCAGATAGATTCATTAAATGGCTTTATCATAAATGAAACAGCATATGTGTTTATGAGAATTCCTTGGATACAGAATGATAAGTATATATACAATATCATGGATGTATTAATAATATATAAATCTCCGGGGCGCCTGGGTGGCTCAGTCATTAAGCGTCTGCCTTCAGCTCGGGTCGTGATTACGGGGTCCTGGGATCGAGCCCCGCATCGGGCTCCCTGCTCAGCAGGAAGCCTGCTTCTCCCTCTCCCACTCCCCCTGCTTGTGTTCCCTCTCTCGCTGTGTCTCTCTCTGTCAAATAAATAAATAAAATCTTAAATATATATATATATATATATACATCCCTATCTATTGGTTTGAGCATTTAAAACAGAAAATCATTTCAAGACTATTCTGAGGACTCATAAGCTTAAGAAAATGGACTTTAAGGCTTCTGACTCCAAAGCTTGTACTCATACTACAAGACCAACATTTAGTCTCCATTAAACCCATTAAAAATGTTAACATCACCAAACATTCAGAGAATATATACAGATATAATAGTACCAAAACCAGAAACACTGGTAGAAAACTATTTCAGGCTAATAGAAAATTTCCCAGCAAATTTTTAGAAATCGCTAAAGACAAAAAACAAAAACAGCACAAAAAATCATGTCAGCTGGCGAACTGTCTTTACATAGGTCTTGCCCTCAGATTCTGAGAGAATACTGCTAATCACAGAGAAAGCTTTTGATATGCAGTGATCTGTAAGAAAAAAAGAAGAAAAAAGGAGAAGACAAAGAAAAAAAGAAAAAAACAGAAATAGGGAATGGGAGAGGTTTATCAGATCAGAGAAAGATCATCTCCCTTGAAGGCCTATTCATTCTCAACCTTCACTTTTTGTCATATCCTTATCTCTTCCACTAGCACTGAATTCTGTCAGGTGATATGAAAGTCTAATAAAAGCAGTATAATTATACAGTGTATACTGAAATAATTGTATCATTCTCTTGAACAATACCTAAATATATTTTCTCTTGGAAATAGACTATTTTCTAAACCTCTATGTTATATGCTTCCTAGACTGTTAATTGCAGATGAAAAATAAAAGTTTTCTGAAATATTTAATTATAAAGAATTTTCATTTAATAGCTTTGAAAGGAAACCTTTAGGGATCATATGACAGTTCAGTTAGACTCCAACAATGTCGATAATCATGTTAATATCAAGAATGGCTTAGAAACATCATTCAAAGAAGCATCTCTAATTGAAAACAATTTCTTTGGCTAGTGTATGGCAAGATTTTTCTTTCTAATAAAGAGGTAACAGATACACACAATAGACTAATCTAAATAAAATAGGCAAGTTAATGT